ACTTTATAATACATACATGTACATAATTCTATTTTTGTTTGTGTGGCAAATCCAAAAAATGAAATAAAATTTAAAAAATACAGACCTTATTCTCACATGGCATCCTGCAATACCTTTTGTGTTTGGCTAAAAAAAGTCAGAGGTTTTATACAAAGTGATGATATCACATTAAAAAGCACCAGGTAATCTATTGTATTATCTTGAGAAGACTAATCATTTCTCACTGTCCCTGAGGCTTCATATTGTTATCTTCTTCTATTGTTTCTCTTTTTAAGGTACATTATGACCAGTGAGCACACAATGGATGAAACCAAAAGATTCTTTGAGAAACATAATTACTTTGGGTTACACAGAGATGACGTACTATTTTTTGAGCAGCACACCCTCCCATGTCTAACAATGGAGGGAAAAATTATTCTTGATCAACCAGGTAAAGTTGCTCGAGCGCCTGGAGGAAATGGTGGCTTGTATGAAGCTCTAGGTGATGACAACCTTGTTAACATTAGTACCATGAGGAAACGTGGAATTGAGTATGTTCATGTGTACTGTGTGGACAACATTCTGGTCAAGATGGCAGATCCTGTGTTTATAGGATTCTGTATTGATAAAGCAGCAGAATGTGGAGCTAAGGTTGGTAATTTGTTAATTTTTGAAACATAGATACATGTACAGGGGTGTATACATATATCTACAGCAAATATAATTGGCACATGTATACATTCTACAAGTCATGTACATGATGTACATGTATATTCCCCAAAAACGAATTAAATATACTTTAGAAATCTCTAACTTAAGATTTGTTAAAACGAATAATGATCATTCACATACATTTTAGTATTCTACTGTATGTCCATGTAGGGGTTTTCTTTCTTGGACAGAAAATACATGTATAGGTATATAATATTTGTCTGTCGATGTGAAAATTAAATTCAAAAGCTGTTGATTTACAGGAAAGCCAGGTTACTCTCTTACTCAGTCATATATAACTACTGTAAAGTAAATAAGTGTTGAAAGACTTTCTGAAAGGTCCCAAAATCTGTTTCTGTGATTATATATTTGTACCCTCTAGCTAGATTGTACAGCTGTAGCTAGACAGTTTGTATTTAAACAACTTTTAAAGTTGTTAACAAATTGCAAATGTATTTTGAAAAGTACTGGATACAACTGCATGTAACTGTGAATGCAGACTTCAAAAACCTCCATTGTCAGTGGATTTACTACTTACAGAAACAATCATTTCCAAGAAGAACATTGCCCGCATCATACTAGAGTTCCTCTCCAGACTGTAGAATTAATAATCATAAATGGTTCTTTGAGGTTGTATCTAAAGCAAAGCTTGAAACAAATTGTCAGACTGATATCAACTTTTTGTTTCAGGTTGTAGAGAAAACCTTGCCAGAGGAGAAAGTTGGAGTTGTGGTTAAATGTGATGGCAAATACCAGGTGAGTTTCAATTGAGTTATAGGAAGAAGTTATTTTATCCCAATTCATCACCTTCATCATTCTAAATTTTGCATAACCAAACCTCAGCTGTAAGTCATCGCATGTATAACATGTTTTGTACATTTTACTTTATAATTCGTTGCACATAAGTATGCCTGCCAACACTTCAGATTTCTAAATTTCCCATTTTTCTAGATGGGCTGTCAATTGCTAATCAGCATGATCCAAAGTGTTGAATTTTGGGTGGTTTGGGATGTTTAAGTATAATGCCTTTTTGTGGTTGAATCTGTGACTTGAAATGTTCATACTGGGGTTTGGCAATAGGCACCTTTACATTTATGTTGGCATCTGCAGTTTCTAGTTGACCTCTTGGCATAATGTGTCATTTGTTTATATCTCTGAAGGACCACTTTGTACATGAAAATTTTCTTAATTTCTTAAATGCACTATTTTTATGACTTTTTAAAATTCATCAGCAAATGTCTGAATTTTTGCTTAGGTATAGAGGTTAATCCTTGGTTTTATTGACCAATCTTTACAATTTTGATGATTACCGGTAATCATGCAAAATGTTTTCACATTATCAATTAAGTTTGGTGATAAATCAAAATGTTTTTCCACCAAATGACTGTACCTATGTGCCAATGAAAAAAATAAATTTTTGTGTAGCTGTTCAGATGGAATCATTAAACAAACATGCATGTAATATTATTCATTCGCATGAAAAACAAGGTTCAATTTAGAAATTCAGTGGTACNCTTGGTTGCAGGTTGGGCAGGCCAGTCGGGTGTTGTAGCGCCTTGGGGATGTGACTGCGGTTGCAGCCCCTGGGCTTCGTAGGCATCTTCCCTCCACTAACGACTTGGGCATTAATATTGTTTGCCACGCCAAACCTAACCTGCCGAACCAAACTGATTCAAACGCGGCTCTTCTGCCGTACTTAACTCATCAGTTAGGTTTGGCGCATGAATAGAGCGGCATTTGGAATGGGCCTAACTCTGTTCCTACAGTAAGTCTGGTAATAAATGCCACACAGTCTTCTTGAGAACTGCCTGATTGTACATATAACTGGGATTCTCAAGATTAGAATAGAGATCATGTGTGAGCAACAGCCAGTCGACCTCCATTAAGAAAGCCTAACTTGATATACAAAAACCATATGCTGATGACAAGAAATATTTCCACTTGGCAAAGGTCTAGTCAAGATGCAAAGAAGTTAATTCATGTGTAAACTTTTCACAGCTGCACATCTAACAAATTGAATTTTTGATTAATATTAAATTCTCAGCCTTGGCTGAATAATATTACATTTCTTGCACTCATTCATAGACTTGTCCAGTACATTCTCAACTTAATTTGTTTCTGATATAATACATGTAATTCTACAATTTTTGACAACTTACCAATACAGTATATTGCTCTTGTATAAATTTCTGAACAAAAAAAAAAACAATATGTATATGAGGTCAGACTCTGACTGCTCCCTTTATCATAATGAGATTTCTTTAAGCAGGCCTCTTAAATATTTTTTGACTAACATCTAGTTTAAATATTTTCCTTTGGTTGAAGTTAGCCTACACATAATTCAACACACAATCTTCTTCAGTCTGCTATGAATATTCCCATGAAAATGAAACTTGCTGAAACTTGCATGCACAGCACATCACATCATCTGCTGAAGCCGTAACTATTGGACAGGTGTGTTAGAAATCAGAGTCCCATTAACGCACAGGTGTGCATCTTATACGTGCAAAAAATTAAATGGACGCCCAGTTTTTTGGCAGAGTGCATCCTTGGGATGCAGGAAAAAAGTTCTGACATGTTAGGAAACTGGGTCTGGCAGGCCCCAATCAAAAATCTCTGTGATCATCATGGCACATCTTTTGAGCCACCATTTTGTCACTCGTTGGGTCTTGCCCACACAAAACCTTCAACATTGAGGAAACCTGAAAGTGACACAGATCGGGGGGATGATACCCAGATGAAGAAATGCAAATTTCGTTCTGAATGGCTGGAGGACTTTCAATGGTTAAAATATGATTCGACCGATCGAAAAACAAATGAAGTGCAAAGTTTGTCTTGATGCACATGGCTGTAAACCTAAACCATTGCAAACAATAAAACTAAATTTTAGTAATAGGCAAATTAAAGGACCCCTGGAAAGCAAAAGAACTCCCAGCTCTCTTTATAACTGGGGGTCCCAAGCTAGGACCCTTTAGTTAACTATCAAAACTAGTGGGTACTCTGGAAATTCTCCAGTTGTGCTCCTTGTATGCAATTTAAGGTGTTAAATGTTTACAAACTTAAAGGAATTTCTGTAGAATCATGTACTGCAGATGCTGGCTGGCTGACCCAGATGTTTCCAGTCTACCTCAGACCAGATTGTACTCTATAACCATCAGTGAGAGCTTATTCTGGTTTGGTGGCCAGCCATAGCATTAGAACGAAATTGTATTTCTACATGCTACAGTCCCTTGCAAGGTTTCTAGCCAGCTTTAAAACTGCCGATACCCATTTATACACCTGCAGGTGTTGAAGAAAGGTGCTTTGAGAGCAAAACATCTTGCCTGAACTCACTTCACTCACTCAATCCACTTTGTGCCCTTGGGCACATAATTGAGACTATAAGCTCATCTTACATGGCAATGATCACACCGGCCAGGGTTCATACCCAGACATTGTGATCCAAACTGCAGTATGTGCCTCAGCTCCCTAAGTAAACAAGATGGTGACTACATTTATGCAGTGAATAAGCAATGGTTTTGATGTGCAAAGCCCATTAGGGCAATGTTTGTAATATTAAATAAGTATTTTTAATCAGGTTGCTGAGTACAGTGAGGTATCAAAAGAACTTCAGGCGATGAAAGACCCACTCAGCAATGATAAGCTCTTATTTAGAGCTGGAAACATATGCAATCATTTCTTCACAGTGGACTTCTTGGAGAAAATTGTAACGTAAGTGGTAAATATGAATGCAAGATGGTGAGCTTGTTATAATCTCCTTTTTGTAATTCTCTTGATGCAATTATGGCAAATTATTTGCATGTACATGTAATAAGTAAGTTATTGTCAAACAGATAATATCATTGAAAAGAGAAAAAAATGACGTGTACATGTACGGTTAACAAATTGAAGGTTCTGGTCACTATTTGTCATCAGAGCTGAAATTGTTAAAAAATGTCAGTCAGCAGCATGTCTTAACATGTCTCTGCCATTTGGATGCTGGTTCGGACTTGCTCTACACAATTTTTCTTGCCACCAGCTTTATGCAATATTATTTTAACAAATATATTTGGCTATCAACTGATAAAGATAAGATAAGATGACTTTATTTATACACGGTTTTTCCATTGGTCAACAAAGTTACTGGACTATCAACCTAACTGCCTAACTACAATAAAAAAAAATCTTAAAAGACATCTCTAAGACTGCTTTGTAAGAAGTGCAGGTTTACTGATGTAAGCACCTTTCTCACTGGCAGCTGCCAATCTCTAGTTGCCTGTTTTTTCAAGTCCTGCTTCATCTCACCACTGCTCATTTTAGTCCATACTCACCTCCTGAGGGATCATGCTGATACATGGGGAAGAAATCCTCAATAAACTACTAAAATGTTCTCAGAGTCAAGAAATATTTAATATTAGTAACTAGTTTGCCAGCTGGGCTGCAGATTAAAATACCGTACAGTGAGAGGTATACAGATCAGAACACTATTTGCTCTTAGAGAAGGTTTACTACCAGAAATTCCCAATTGAGCTATCTGCTCTGACTTAATTAGGACAGAACAGGACACAGTCATTGAAATAATTTCTTTCACTCCAAATGACAGAACCAGTTTGGAGGACCTAGATTTACTAAAACTGAAAACGGAGCCAGTTACATGTATCTGTTGATGAATGCATACACAAACCTTAGACTGCTCGCAGGCCTACACCTGTACTTGTATATGCCTTTCAGCTTTCTTTGATATGTTTGGAGCAGAATATGTTTCTGCTTTAAATAACACCAGCATGCTCTCTGTCGGATCAGGGCAAATTGATAAATCTGATCAGATTTACAGTATTTTGTTCTTTTCACCAGTTCAGGCCTTCTGGCTGAAGTTTAGCTATGTTGTATGGAGAACCTCTAAGGAGAGATTCACCTCAATTTCAAATACATGTTATACATATGTAGTAGTGTTTTTCTGTACTTATAAGTCTAATAATTTTATTTATGAACATGCCCAGTTGCCCATCATATTTTGCCACAATCAAACAAATCCATCTGGAATAATTTTACACCAAACAGTTTCTTTTTTTTGTAATTATTATTTTACAATAACTGCCTAATTTCTCACGCGCTGATTGACTCATTTTTATCATAAATAAGAGCACAGACGGATAAAATTTTAATTTATGCAAGCTTTCAAGTTCAACTTTCAGCTTTCAAACAGTCAATTTTTTAACCAATGAGATTTTATGGACTTTTTAAGTAACCAATCAAAAAGCAAGAAAAGCTATTGACAATGTTCGCGTCATTTTGAATAGAATTCACTTCTCTTTGTTTATGGCAAGTTTACGGCGTCTTTTGCCCTCATTTGCTCCCTGCATTTGACCATTTTGGGGTCTTGGTATAAAAAAAACAATTGACGTCAGATTTTCATGTGTCTGTCCTCTTATTGATGATAAATTTTGTCATTATATTGTCAAATTTTACTGTGGAACCACTTGCCTGCAGCTCATGGTTCCACAGCCACTTTGACAATGTTATGACACAATTTATCATCAGTAAGAGGACAGACGCATAAAAAAACTGACGTCAATTTGTTAAATTGATTATTCTAGGGCCCACTCTGTATGTTCTGTGTTCTCTAAGATTTTGAGCCAGGGAGGCCATTTACTTGTAAAGTAATAGCGTTAAATCACATTGGCCATAGTACATAGAATGCCATTTTTTTTAAGTCTGATCTCACAAGAATGGCATATGAAATAGTTTGTGCATTTCTAAGTCACACCAGGGGTCAAATTTTCATGGCATCATCAGAGTACGGTCATGGTATTTGCTACTGTGTTTCACTGGGTACATATTTCTTTCCTCTTTCAAGGTTATAGATTCATTTTGTCCTCTTTGCTTCAATTTGAAGAAGAGTGTTATTCTTCTTGCTTAGCATTTGCTGGATTCAGAGTAATCTGTTGTAATTCTCTGGTTGAGAATTATAATTATTTTTGCAGCTGGCAAGTCAACAAAGTAAATGTAAACAACCAATGAATTGCAGTCACTTTTATGGCTAAACTTACGTTTACATGTTACAAAAACACTTCATGCAAACATAGACCATTTTGTTGCTAACCTACATGAATGTGTGTGTTGTGGCCATTAAGAAAGATTTTTGTGGGTCCTTTATGCTGGAATGAATTTAAAAATAGAACTGTCCTGTTGACTTTTTGGTTTCTTTATTTTTCACTCTTTAATAGGGAGCATGAAAGTTCACTGAGGTTCCATATTGCCAAAAAGAAGATCCCATTTGTTGATGAAAGTGGGAAGAGGTGAGAACAAAATATCAGCTTTGCAAATTTGTCTTTCTACTAAGGTTCCTGATAGCAGAAGTTCTGCCATGAATGACTGCAAAACAAACACACAACAAGGTGTAAATCCTCAAAAGCACCTGTTGTGAACAATTTCAACTTTATTTGTTTCCCATCGGAATCTCACATATCTCATAAGTGGGATTCAGCTGTTCAATACAAAAAATTAATTAATCTAACAATGAAAGCACAAGCTCGCAATGTTAACGAATGACACAACATTTTTTATCAAGGTTGCTTTCAATAATATATTGTAACAAATGATGAGCGCTTTCTCAAAATGTGGGTTCACACAGTTGCCATTCCTACAATTAGATATGACAGCTTTGATGGAATATTGGAAAACATACTGACAAGTCAGCATAATTAATGAGCAAGTTAAGACCTGTAGTTTCCCATTTACTATTTGAGCATTCATGTTTGTTGTTCAGAATAGTTTGTTGTTCAGTGCTCAGAATACTCCTTGCCGAGAATGAATCTCGTGGCCCTTGCACTGAATTTTCATTTCAGAATCATCCCAACAGCACCCAATGGAATTAAGTTGGAGAAGTTTGTCTTTGATGTGTTAAGATGTATTCTGTTTTAAGATGTCCTCAAATTCACTGGATTGACTTGTTCAATGTAATGTAATTTGGAATTTGTATTAAAGATTAAAAGAAAGATTAAAGATTCAGTCTTGGTATAGTGTGTCTATGCCCCGAGACAAAGCCCTTGAAAAAAGTTGGGTTATAATTTCATTCAGAAGGTATCTTAAACATGGAGGTCATTAAATAAGCCTACATGTAGTGTGAAACGTATTAAGTCTTTATAATTATAGTGGTTTTGGATTCATTTTTAAGAGCACTAGGCATGTACCTTGTATTGAAGTCAACACCCCTACAGCCCACCTGCACAGAGCAGTTTAAATGGTTAATTTTCAGATTTTGGGGTCTATAAGAAGTCAGTACACTGTTATGTTATTGTTTCATTTCAGAATCATCCCAACAGCACCCAATGGAATTAAGTTGGAGAAGTTTGTCTTTGATGTGTTTGAGTTTTCAGAGTAAGTTCCCATTAATCTATAGTGTAACAGTTAAGATTGTGGCAGTTGCCTCATCTGAAATATACTAAAATTTATAATGAGAAAAAAAAAAAATGTTGTTGCATTTTGAAGTATAATCCATGTTGTTACAGCCACCCTTCCCTCCCTGAATGAAAAAGGTTCATTGGAATATCTAAGATTAATTACTAACAACAATTTTAATATTTTGGGTGTTTCATATTCTATGATTTGTATAATATAATAATTTTTATTAGTAAATTGGTACTCATTTTATCATTAAGTTGTGTTTACCTGTAAATAACTAGTTGTTATCATTTGTATTTTCGGTTGTATATAACCTTTAAACAGAAGCATGTGAATTCTTTGTATCTTTTTTATGGTCAATAAAAATGCAACTAAAAATTAAAATATAAATAAATTATTTATTTGCAATAAGTAAACATGTGCACGTCGTAATGTCTCATTGAATTTTCTGCCATGAATTCTACATTTAGAAAATTAGCTGTTTTGGAAGTTGCCCGAGAAGATGATTTTTCCCCACTCAAAAATGCCAGAGGTTCGCCATCTGAAAGTCCAGAAACAGCACAAAGGGATTTGATGAATTTACATTATAGATACATAATCAAAGCTGGTGGTAAATTCATAAACACCAATGGGTAAGTTCTTTGATTTCTACAAGGAAACAATCCTTAATTCAAATTTAAATTACACCTTGTGCATGTGAGCCCCCACCCCTCTTCCAAAAACCAAGCCCTCCTGTAAGTAAGCCCCCCTCCCCCATCTCAGGGGCAAAGATACATGTATTAAGATGGATTCCACCCAAAGTTCAAGCAATAAGTAAAAGAATTGTTTACTAAAAATCTACTCATAGCAGGGTAACTTTTGGAATACTAACTAAAACAACTCAATTAAGTTCATTTCTTTAAGTGACCCCCGCAGTTAAATTCCACAGCATTCTTGAGAAACTTAATGTCAAACATCGTAAGAATGCTTGAAGTGTGTGTTATTGTGTTTTTAACTAAAGCGAAATGTCTGTTTTAAGTGAAATATGGATAACTTCAAGTTCAGTTTTCTCTTGCGGGGTCAGCTTGAGAGTTTAAGTCTCGATAAGTTCTTCTTAACTGTATTCAAAATAATACCATGCCATGAGGGTTTTTTTGGTAACTTAATTTTTGCCATTTGTCCCTTGCTGTGGAAGCTTAATTATCCCAGTTTCTGTAAGCGCAGCTTGGAGTAGTGGTTTGACTTCCCCCTTGATGGGATGCTAGACCAAACATTTAGAACAGATTTTAAATCCCAATATTCATAGTTTGTGGCTTATCAAAGACATTTTACAGTTCCTTGGTGTACTTGACATGTGCTACAGTTCAGTTGTACATGAATGTTGTAACACACAGATGACCAACCTGCCAGTTCAACCATAAACACATGTTGTTTCAAATTGCACTCTGACATTGACTGCATATATTAGTATTGTTTACTCCAACATCTTGTTATTTATGCTTGTGAAAAACAGTGTTCTTAACAAAAAGAAAGCGTTTTATTTGCTGTGCTCTTATTAATTGAAATCCTCTAGATACACAGACCCAGTATGAGCTGTTGACGTAATGATTGCAAAAGCAAAAAGAATTAACATTTTGATATTCAAGAGATATTCCTTTCTCATTTACTTGCGAGAACTCTTAACAATTATGGAAACAATTGCCTGCAGCTCATGTTCACAAAGCATTTCTCATTTTCCCCAAACTTCCACTCAGTTTTCTGGTAAAAATTTAATTATTTTGATAGAAACATGGCAAAAGTTCTTTAATTCTTACTACTATTAATAAATGTTTAATTAATGTTTTGGTAGTAGCTAAGATTCATTGAATTAACTTTATCTTTTTTGCCTTGCCCTCAGGAGGACCTCTGTAGTTTGTGAAATTTCCCCTCTACTTTCCTATGCTGGAGAGGTACGTATTTCGTACTTCACTTTTTATACACCAAGCCTAGTCAAATCGCGTTGAAACACATGCAAAAACTTACAAATGATTGTAACATTACTAGATACATGCAAAGTGTTTTGTTAACATTACGTGAGCAAGGATGGGGAGGGACAAAATGTGTGAAAAAGTAGTATTTCAACAAACATGACCTGAGGCTTGAAGCTTCAACCATTTGATTAAGGACGTTCGCGCGAAAATTTTCCAACATTGATTTTTTTTTGTTTGAGACTTTTACCACTGAAAGATGATGAGTTAGTTATGTCAGAAATGTAAAAAAAATGGGGGGTCACCGACTTCATTTTGGAGAGAACATGCCCGGAAGAACGCCCTAAATCTGAAAAAAATCGGGTTTCGTTAGCTTTCGTTTTTTGTATTACTTGCAAACTGCCCTGATAGGATATTGCAAGTTAGGAATGTGGATATAGACGTAGCCTCAATTGCAAGCTAGTTCCAGTCCAAAAGCCAAGAAATACGAATATGGTCTTTTGAAGATTATCAAAATGTGAGTTATTTGTTTTAGGGATTAGAAGATGAGGTCAAGGGCAAGGAGTTTTCAGCCACAGAGAAGATTTATCTTATGGCTGACGAAGAAGAGAAAAATACTGAACCAGCTCATAAGAAAAGCAGAGAGTGCTGATTGCATTCTTGGTGATGAAGTAATTAGAGTCAGAATCTATTGATACAGACACTAGCTTATGCAAGTACATGATGATTAATCTATTTTGTATGTTGCACTCTCAAGCATGAAAATATAGGACGATACAAGAACTGAAAAAAAAATAATAATAAGCTGCTGGTCTGGGTTATTCAAAAGGTGGATAATGCTATCCAGCGGATAAATCACAATCCAGCAGATAGTGTGACCAATTAGAGCTCACTGTCCCAAAATGATCCCAGAGGACCTGGTGTTGTCAAGGCTAATGTTCAGAACCTAGAGTGTGGATTTTGAATTGTTTTCTCATTATTGTGTCATAATCAATTGCTTTAGGTAGTTCATGAGATTAAAGGTTTTGATCACTTGATAGCGCAGTCAAAGTCTCTATGTAATACAAAATTATCCCAAAAAGTATTGAAAATTGTATGGAATGCAGTGGGGGAATTTTTGTGTTGCTTACGGGAACAAGATGCAACTCAGGTCTCTATACTGTACATGTAAAATTGCATTTGTTGATGAGAAAAACGTTTACTTGTGAACAGTCCAAGTTAGGTTTGTAGCCTCATACCTGTTTCCTGCCAACAATAGTTTGACTGTTCTTAATTAATCAATTTTTGCTTTTCATTTTTTATAGTGATGTGATTAGTTATTTAATAAAGTAGATGTAGATAAGAAAGATTAAAAGTATTGTTAACCGGCGGTTATCAATACTTTTAATCTTTCTTGTCAAGTGCTTTAATAAGCATCTCATTATTCGATCTCTTAGATGTAGATAACCTTTGTAGCAGTCTTTTCCATCTCAAGCGTGCGAGAAACAAAAGGGAGGCACGCAGAGGAACACAAAGGGTTGGACGCAAAATTGTCCAAAGCAAATAGGAAAGGGGGGGGGGGGCAAGGAAGGGCCCTCCCCTCCCCTTCTTATGTCTTTTTTGTTACGCCTTTGCGTGCTTCTCAAGCTTTGGTTCACCTCGTGCGCTTGGGAAGGAAATCACTGGCATGCAGACTAAGATAAAGTTGAATTAAGTAGTGAAAGAACAAATATAGAGTAATAATGGGAAAAGCTAAAAGCAAAGTGGATGAAAGTTGGATGATAGGAATGATAATTTACTAGGAATAGTAATAATACCATTTACTAGGAATGATAATGATAATGATTTGGCGAATGATACTGATAATATATCTTAAACAAATAACTTCCTCAGCAAATGAATATACAGTCGTTACAAGGACGGTAAAGCGGTTTTCACATTGGTGTCCATTTGATACTACGCTAAGAGATTGGGTTAAAAAGTCGTCACCATTTTGTCATCCAATTAGAAGGAAAACCAAAACCAATTGTGACTAATTTGCACATGTTTTCCCGAGCTGTGCGTCAGCTACATGCATTTGCTCGGAGTTTTGATCGGTTGAACAGGTTGTGTGTGTCCTTTGTGATTGGCCAGGACAATCGCTTTTGGTTTTGGTTTTGCGACACTCAGTTGAAAAGCCCTCTAATAGGCAAGGCAATTTCTCTTGGTTTGGTTTTGGCTTTACTACAGTCTGAGATTGGCTGAGTATTCCAATTGGTAAGTAATTGGTTTGGTTTTGGTTTTACGCCACTCGATAGAAAAACGCTCTCGAGCTCGGTTTTCATTTGAGTGTCGAAAAGTAAGAGGTTTTTATTTACTACGCTACATGCTTGAAGTAAAAAAACTCACGCCACTTTTTCATCCAATCAGAAGTAAAACCAAAACCACTTATGACTTGCTCCTACTCGTTTTCACGCGTTTTGCGTCAGCTGCATTTATATTACCTCGAGTTTTGATTGCTTTATTGTATTTTCTGTGTCTTTTGGTATTGGCAAGAGTGATTACTTTGGTTTTGGTTTTGCGACACTCAGTTGAAAACAGCTCTATCACCAAGCACTGGGAATCTAATTTAATTTAACTTAATTTAATGTATTCTTAGACTAATCATAGATATATTTTTGAAACTCTCGACTCTCGCATGATTAGGTTTTACATTTGAACGAGTGATATTTTGTAAAGAATGAATGTTAGAAATTTCGATTAGATTAGTAATAGATATTAGTGACAAGCTTTTTTCAAATAAGGTAATTTATTGTTTGGATTGCTGTACGAATAGGATAGGTAGGTTTATCTTATTAGGACTCGAAATCTTGTTCGTTGCTTGTGCGAATAGACATTTGTGTTTTCTTACCGGTAATAAAAAGGCAAAATTTGGCTTTCTTCTTTTGTACTTCTTTTGTCTCCCTCTCTTGTCTTACCGGTGTCCGGACAAAAGTAATTTCGTAAAAAGACGTTTCAGACGGCCCAGGAAGTCGAAAAAACACCACACATGAGTCGATTAACATTTCATTTACATTACTTTTAATGGGATATTCAGACCGAGATGTAATTTAGATGTGCAATTTTCAGAGCTTTATTCATAACTCTCATAGATTCATAGTCATTTATAACAACGAACACATAGAGTGGTCTGCCTGGGGCTTTATGCGTAGATGGATTATTTTGAGCAGGTTGTTCCCAGATATTTGCCGGTTGAGTTCAAAGACCTTCAAACACTACTTTCGAATAACTTTCTCTCGGGAAATCGGACCGTTCTTACATGTAACAGCCGAAACATACACTGCGTCATACAGCTGCGTAACTTTTGTTACTGCACATGAGTCCTAAGTTACGATTCACTTGGTTGGACTTGGCTGTCACTTGGTTCAGCGGAACCAAGTGCCAGCTGGAAATACGTCTACAATCGCTGCAATGATAAGTGTTCTCCTCCATGTTGAACATGGAAAGTGGGTCGGAAAGGCCAAATAGAATGGTCCATTTCGATCAGACCGGTCTAACCGAAAGGTGGACCGGCTTTTTCGAAACTTCTCCGGTTGAACCGAGCCGATACATTCAGTGTTTAGCCTGCAGTACACGCGGATTAGCGGGTTCTAGCGCGATACACGAGCGCGCGCGAAGCGCAAGGCGAGAAAAACCTCGCCTCGCGCTTCGCGCGCGCTCGTGTATCGCGCTAGAGCCCGCTAATCCGCCTGTAATGCAGGCTATTCAGTGTTATAACCCACGCTTAAATTTCGCGCAATTTTATTGGCTACTTTACATCACGTGGTGCAAAATTACTGGGTAGTTTACGCAATAACCTCCGCCTGCGTCGATAATTGCCCTGCGACTGTTTCTGTTGAAAAAAAACAAAGCTAAAAAGAATAAATCCAGTTCTAGAATTTCACCTTTTCATTTTCATTATTTTCATGGAAGAAAAACACTCTTTTCGTGGAATCCGCTGATAATGACATTAAAAAAAAAAAAAAAAACTGATCGCCAAGCTGTTCCGATAAGTACAAAAAAGTCGACAAAATATGCAGAAAATTAATGGGAGGGTTATAAAATAAAACCCTTTCTGGCTCGCTGCTATGTTGGCTGATAATGTCCTTGGCTGAGAGATTGTCCTCAAAATTTCACATTTGCCCTCGAAGCTTCGCTTCTTGGCCAAATATTCATTTTTCGGACGATATCTCAGCGAGGGTCCACAATAGGGTTCTCAATTCCCACTTTCCCGCCCATTTTTTCCTGTTCATCCCGCCATCCCGCCCTTTTTTGCCAGGAAATCCCAATCCCGCCCACTTTTTAAAGACGTTTCTGCGTTAATTAATAATTTGTTAAATTAATAATTGATTTACTTATAAACACAAAAACTTTTTAAAAATGAAAATCATATAAAAGATTACAAAAGAATTCAATGGGTAGCAGTTTCTTTCAGTAAACGGTTTACTGTTTTTGTTTTCTTTTGTCCACGTATCAGTGAAAGAAAAAGATTGTTCATTCCCATATTTAAGAGATGGCCCGTAAATACAATTGACAGTTTCTTTCAAAGCTTTCAGCGGCTTCATTTTCCTTGAGATCTGGGCTCAGAACTTTTCTTTCCAAAAGAAGGCAGTCCTGCTCGCACACCTTTTCGTAAAATATGGCGACGCAATTCGTAATTCTCATACTTCGTACGGTAAATCACTATCACCGCCATCCGGAGTGGTCATCCTGGCCAAAACAAACCAAGCGCTCTGGA